TATATATGTATATATATACTTACTAAATTATTATACTAATTATTACTATCTTTTTTTCAATTGAAAATATTAAATAAAATAACTAAAGAATAAATCTATTCAACCTATTTATATATCTTCAGTTATAGTCCAATTATCTATATTTTGAGTTCTAAAATTATAAAAAAAAATTAGTTAACTGTAACAAACAAAAAATGGGGTGATGGAAAAAAAATCCCCATCCCGAAAATAAAAATCTAAATACAAAAAAATTATTAAGAAATAAAAAGATGTAGAATTTTGAGAAAAAGTATAATGTAAGGGTATAATGGGTATTAAAAAGATATAACATTAATTATTTAAGGTATAATAATAACACTGCCCTTATCTTTAAATTTGATCTAGTGTGAAAAAGAGTATCTGAACTGATTCCAATCTAGTTCGGATCTAGTTTAAGGATTTAAAAGATAAAATTATATAATTTATAAGTGTGAACAAATGTGAACACACAGTGTGAACACAAGGGAGTTGGCATTTAGAAACTAGTTAACACCCCGGGCAATGCCCGGGCCCTTGAAATTAAAAAAATAAAATAAAAATTTAATATTAAAAGGAAATTAGTAGTGAAAGGATATATTATTACTTAAAAGAAAAATATGATAGTGAGTTCTAGGGCATTTAATCCCAATTATGTTAATCCCACAATATATGCATATTTAACTGCTTGGGGATACAATCAAAAACAACAAAATACTCGCAATGTTGTGTCTTATTATAGCCATAATAATTGTTGCCATATATGATTCACGAATAACATGGACAACACAACCTCAATGTAAGGAATCTGCCATAGGAGGTTTCTGTAATCAAAATTCAACTTGAAGAAATGAGAATTGTCTCATGTTACATAACACATTATCAAATGTGTTTTGCAAGAATACATTTATAAAAAACAATGGAAACTAAATAAATACCTTAAAAGTATATTGTAATGAAGTCCACCCACAATGATGCCAGTGAAGCATAGCAATTAAACTAACAACAAAAGTTATGAAGCCTATAGCAAAGCTCAAATAAAAGTACAATTAAGTATGTAGAATAGAATTAATAGCAAGTAAACTCTCTTTAAGATATCTCTTTATACTAATTCAAAATTTAAAGAAGCATCTCTTGTCATTATCCAATCTGTTTTTATATGCAAAGTGCTATTCTTGTTAAGTATCTTTTAGACTATGTTCAAACTTCCTTCACCAATACAAAAATGCTCTTCTCAATTCATAGTCACTAAAAAGTCAATGAAAAAAGCAGTAAAGTCAATAATGAATCCTAGTATCCTACATACATATACTTTATACTGTTGGATGATTTTGCATCAATACTTGTAAACAAATTCCCAATTCTAGCCACCTTTAACATATGTAATTATATATTGCATTTTACATGTTGCATTTTGTTGTCTCCATGATACCCACAAAGGAGAAGGAAATAAACAGAGGCAAGGTAAAATGGTAAATCCCATAGCCTTAGGTTTACGTGCATCCAAGAAAATTCAGTTACAAACTATTGATTAGAAGATAAGAAAAATTTTAAATAATCGGAATGTTTTCTGCTAAAAAAAACAGAGTTACTAACCAAAACTGCAAGCACAAGGGTGTCAATGAGTAGTATCACTAGCAAGTATTATTTGATTGTAATAACATACAAACTTTTCAACAACTTCAGCATGCATCACCTATAACTTTATATCAATAACAATTATAATTGAGAGCTCTCTACCAACCAATTTGATTTGTTAACTTCTTGCATGTCTACACAAATTTGCATTCTTTCAAAGCAATCGTTACAAAAAATGGAGAAAGAACCTTATTACATACCAAATCTTACAATTAAATTTTTTAAAAAAAAGTCCATCCCATATATCAACTATTAGAATAATGTGAAAATCATTCAAGAATAGTTATAATTAACTAATTTGTCTTGTACATGAGATAATAATTGTATAAGCAGAAAGCTAAAGCCAAAGCTAAAGCCTAAGCTTATGCATATCTCAAGGGTTAATCTTTAGCGATTTCTTCATGTTAAACTAATGATGCTACATAAGATGGCACTTTCATACCATGATAGGTCCACGATAGTGCACTGTTCTGAGTTAGAGGAGAAGAATACTGCATGGCAAAGCCCAGAATCTTGTCTCGCACATCCCACTTAACTTCAATGATGTATTTTGACCAATTATTTCACATTGATCATCAAGAATCTTAATTTGCTTTACACAATAAGGGACAAATGAATGTTATTGGACTTTTCTGCTAAGAGCATTGTAGGGGAAAGGGGAAAAGGGAAAAGGTAGCTTTCGCTAAGTTATACATTGAGGGTTCGTTTGATGCAGCTTCCCAAAGGTTTCAGTTTTTGACATTATTTATATTTCATAAATTTAATTTTTTTTTTAAATTTATATTTTTAAATATTTTTTTAATCTTAAAAAGATTATAAA